GTGCTCAGTGGGGCACTGGTGGGAAAGTTTAAACTTCACCCTGGCCCCATGCCTGAACATAAACCAAAGGCACCTGCCTCTTCCTTCACCTATAGAAAAAAGACCAGCTTGGGTGCCTGGCTGGCTCTCTACAGAAAATCTCATCGTGTAACAAATATTTTCATGCTCTCTGGTATACATATGATATCATCAGTATCAACATCCAAACTAATTTTAGGTAGGATTGATCTTGCCCTGTCTGGGGCAACCACAAGACACCTACCAATTCTTCTCCCAGTTATATACCAACAGAAATGCATGCATATGAGCGACAAAAACATACAAGAACACTGACAGGACCATTATTCATCACAGACCAAGACCTGGAACACACTCTATCTTCCAGTAATACTACAGACAAAGAATCTGTGATTATAGTTACATAATCTACAGCTACACAGCTGAAAATGTTCTATTTCTTAATCCGGTTGGTAATTTCACAGGTATGCTGACTTTGTGAAATTCATTGAACTGTACATTTATGATTTGTGCAATTTTTTGTGATATATGGTAGAGTTCAATACAAAGTTGTTTTTTTAAAAGATTAGGTTTGGAATGCTAACTAAGAGATCTCTTTGCCACTTTGACCAACTATCAAGGTAACACCGTATAATCTCAAATTCTATGGCTTTAAACGGCATCCAGTATGTTGGGAAGACAAGAATCCACAGTAATCTCTTCAAAAAATACCACGTGCCTGCTATGAACCTGGGCCACTGCAGGCGACCCCAAGTACTGGATACACAGTGGTGAAGAACACAGACCACGTTCCTGCCACCATGCCGCTCTCAGGATACTGGGGGAAATACTGAGAAATAAATAAGCAAGAAATTCTAAAGGTAGGAGATGGGTGAAAAAGTAAAGCAGAGTAAGTGGTTAAAGAGTAATCGAGGTTAGTGGTATAACTTCAGGCAGTGGGAAGAGGGAAGGCAGGCCTCTGTGCAAAAGCCATTTCTGTTCTCTACCACGACAAAACTCCATGATGACTCCAACACACACTGACTTCTTCTCTGCCTTGTTGACAAATGATTAATGGGAATGAAAAACATAAGAACTAAAAGGAATTTTCAGATCCCAGTACAATAAATGCAGTGTATATGTGAAGCAAATATTTCATTCCTTTGTACCTACTTGTTAGTCTGGTTGACCAGTATGCGACTTCCATCAGAAACTAAGTCTGCATCATCTCTGTCCCAATGCACCTATAACCACAAATAAACTCAGATGATTTCTCCAGCATAATTCTGAGCCATCTATCAACAACAAAAGCACTTTGGAGCATATTTTTTTTCCTAAGGAATTTGTAAAAATGTATGCTTTTGTCATAAAAACTGGCAAGAAATATACAAACAAAAAATTTCCATCCTTTCACGCGGAATGAAAAAAGAATATTTGGCTCGGCGCCTGTGGCTCAAGTGGCTAAGGCGCCAGCCACATATACCTAAGGTGGTCAGTTGGAATCCAGCCCAGGCCCGCCAAACAACAATGACAGCTGCAACCAAAAAAATAGCCAGGCGTTGTGGTGGGTGCCTGTGGTCCCAGCTACTTGGGAGGCTGTGGCAGGAGACTCGCTTGAGCCCAGGAGTTAGAGGTTGCTGTGAGCTGTGATGTCACAGCACTCTACCCAGGGGGACAGCTTGAGGCTCTGTCTCAAAAAAAAAAAAAACCCAAAACCAAAAAAAGAATATTTTTCAAAACTTGAATTATCTTAACTGGTCATACTAAAAACATTAATTGAAAAATTGCCACATCTCACCATTTTATACAGTGTAAACCCAGTGTGGTAGATTTTCAAAAATAGCCATAAATACCTTACCTGGTTTTTCCCAGCCCTTTGCCATGTGACTTTACAACACCTCTAAACCTTTGAATGTGGGCATGGCCATGTGAAGTGCTTTGGCCAACTGGATTTGATAGAAACAGAAGCTTATGTGGGGGTATGTGTGTGGGTGTGGGGGGGCTTGCTATCTCTTCCTGCTCTTTGTAACCCTAAGACCATCATGTGAAGAATAAATACTACAGTCTCACTTCAGAAGCCAGGTGGATAAGAGATCATGGGGCATAGAGACAAGCCAGTTTGGCTGACACTCTATGAACCAAGCAGCCCTCCAATGCCTGGGCACGAGTGACAGCGCCATAGACCGTCCAGCCCAGCCAAGTCAGCCCAGTCCAGAAACCCACTCAATCATGTTTGTTTTTCTAAGGCACTAAGTTTTAGGGTAGGTTGTTACAAATCTAACTGATATGCCCAGTTTATGATGAGGGTAAAAAACCTTTTTCACTAGTTTAATTCAGAAGTTTTTTTTCTAAAAAAATACTTTAAAAGCACACTTTTAACTTTGACTCAATTTGTACAAAAAACAAAGTATGTATAAATAAAACACATCTGCCCCCTAATATTCTGAAATTAAAAAAGAACAACATAACTATAGAATACAACTCACAAATAGAATGTCAAAATTTGTTCCCACATATGAATATATTCAGTTTTATTTCTACCAAAATGACGTAGAGTAGGTTATCTGAAGTTCAAGGTGACATGTTCAAGTACATAAATTGTTCATCAGATTAAAGCTGACCTGTTACCTCGTTTTATTATTACTCACATTAAAATGGATGTAAAATACTTCTACAAAGTCATCATCTTCATGATCCAGAAGCATCTGCAAACTCCTAAGAAAAATAAATAATTTTGTTTTCAAAAGAGTAATTTTCAAGATCACTAGAGACACCATTTAAAATAAACATCAAATGCTCAGCAATTCTGAAGGCAGGAAGATCAGGCACAGTTCGCAGCACCCATTTCTCTGTGTACTGACCGTCCACACGGAGCCAGAACTCAACTACAAGTGTGAAGTGCAGGAATTTTATTTGTAACCCTGCAGGCTCTCAGCCTGCTTTGCAGCTCTATTCTTTGACCAAAATTTCCTTTACACTCTAATTATAGATTATACTTAGAAAGGGACTGATAATGTGTTTACTGACACTAAAACACATCCAAACGGGTATTACCTTTATTTAAGTTTTTGGCTTGTTTTGTTTTTTGAGATGGAGTCTCAGTCTGTCGCTCTGGGTAGAGTGCGGGGGCACCATCATAGCTCACAGAAACCTCAAACTCTTGGGCTCAAGTGATCCTCTTGCCTCAGCCTCCTGAGTAGCTGGGACTACAGGTGCCTGCCACGACACCCAGCTGGTTTTTCTATTTTTAGTAGAGACAGGGTCTCCCTCTTGCTGGGTATGGTCTCTAACTCCTGAGCTCAAGCAATCCCCCTGCCTTGGCCTCCCAGAGTGCTAGGATGATAGGCATGAACCACTGCATCCAGCTATTTAAGCATTTGAATGAACTTACAGAACAGATAGGTCTCTTATTAAATCAGACAGGGTCAAAAGATTGTCTCTGTACCTCCTGCCCCAATTATCATCTAACTTAAGAAAGACCTGAAATTTAGCCACTTTCATTGTTTCAGGGTCACTGGGAGAATGGAGGTTCTATCAAAAGAGGAGCCAAGTTTTTGATGTTTGCATCCTCTTGTCCTATGGAACTGTATACAAACTTTCAAAGTCACATGTATTGTTTGCTCACATATTTATTCAATAAACATTTAGTCAGCCCCTAATGTGGCAGGCAAAGGGGATGTAAAGTTGAGACTAAGACATCATTGGCAAAAAGCCCTGAGTCTAGTGGGTGATATGTGCTGATGAAAGTCTCATCTACAGGACAGTGAGAGATGTGCAGCCAGAGAACTCTGGAAATGGCACAGGAATAGCGTGGAAGAGCTTAGTGAACTCTATCCAGAAGGAGACAAGTCCCTGGGAAAGGCCTGTGGGATATGGGAGAATCTGAGTTGACTTTTTTCCCCACTGTATTTTCTAAATGACTGTATTGTGATATAACAGACCATGCTTTATTCACTGTGATTTTTCTGAGGGTAAGGGAGGCAAATTGCTCTCTAGCAGTGAACCTATGACATCAAACAAGTTTGTGCTTTTAAAATACAACAGTGAGACAGGCACAGGATCGACACTCCCATTCCAAAAGCTAGAAAGAAGAAAGAAGAAGGGAGTAAGAGGTTAAGTCCAAACTCAGCAGGGCAAGTGGCATGAAGTCTTAAATCTTGAGAAAAAGCTTTGATTCCACATCCCATCTTCAAGACAAAGTGGGGTTGGTATTGGGTCTCCAAGGCTCTGGGCAGCCCCACTTCATGTATTTGCTGGGCACAGCCCAGCCAGTGCATTCCCACCTTGGAGTTAGGTGCCTGTGGCTCTCCCAGGCTGGAGCTGCACACCGGTGGCTTTATACAATCTGGGGTCTCTGGAGTGAAAACTCTGCCTCCTCAGCTCCACTAGGTATTGTCCTAGTGGCGGCTCTCTGCACTGACCCCAACCTCTGGTAGTAGTTCTCTGCACCCCTGCTTGGCAGAGCATCCTTTGAAATCCAGGGGGAGGCAGCTATGCCCCCACACTTGTGTGCTCTGTGTGCCAACAGAGATGGCACTGCCTGGGTACCACCTCGGTTTACCATTTATGCTCTATCGGTGGCTGCCCACATCACACCTGGGCCTATTAGAGTCCCATCTGGGTCAGGTGAGGAGCACTGTGCAAGGCAGGGAGCGGAGAGTTGAAGCAGCTTGGAATCAAGTGTCACGGTCCTGTGGGCACCTAATGCCCCTCTTTTGACATAGTTCTGTCCCCCAGCTCTTGGTACTCTGGACCTATGATGAGAATGGCAGTCTTTGACGATCTCCAAAATGCCCTTGGGGTCATGTTTATTGCCTTTATGAATAGCATCAGGACTCTGGCCATCCTACTAATCCTTTTGTCAAAGGGCATCCATACTAATCTTGGCCATACTCTTGATGTTTTCTCCTAATACACTTTTCTATTCTTTACAACATAGCCAAACCTATAATTTTCTAAATCTTTAAGTTCTGATTCCTTTTTGATTATAAATTCCATCTTTATGCATTTTTCACATTTTACTATAAGCAGTTAAGAGAAGCCAAGCTTCTCCTTCTATACTGCTGTGCTTGGAGATACCTTCTGTCAAGTACCCTACTTCATTGCTAAGACTTCTACCTTCCGTGAAGCACTAGGACACAAACATAATTATTCAGCCAAGGTCTTGGCCACTGTGTAACAAAGATGGCCTTTCCTTAGATTTCTTTCCTTCCTTCCTTCCTTCCTTCCTTCCTTCCTTCCTTCCTTCCTTCCTTCCTTCCTTCCTTCCTTCCTTTCTTTCTTTCTTCTTTTTGAGATAAGAGTCTCACTCTGTCATCCTGGGCAGAGTGCAATGGCACCATCATAGCTCATAGCAACCTCAATCTCTTGGGCTCAAGAGATTCCTCTTGCCTTGGCCTCCTGAGCAGCTGGGACAATAGGAGCCCACCACAATGCCCAGTTAATTTTTTTCTATTTTTGGT